GCACTGTGAAACAGCCAATCAGAGCAGAGCTCAACATTATTATTCATGACCCTTCCAAATAAGGTAAAAACAGACCATTTCATTCTAGGGACAAATCCTAAATGGACATGTAAAACCGTTTCTGGAGATTTTTTGCCCTTACTTAAACCACATACCTTCTATGTAGATATCAGAGAACAATTTAAAATATTGTATCAGTGCATTCTATGGCACCTTTAAGAATGCAGGGATGTTATGTAAATACAGCTTGCGTCGCTAGAAGCGTTTGTGTACTTGTGTTTAATGTGTTTTGGGACTTTGATGTAGACAGATAATGTTTTATGCAAAAGTGTATGTGGGTCAGAGATGATGCTGGTTTTCATTTTGCTCTGGATCAATGAATGTATTAAAAACCACATTAAAAATGCAATTCTTAGAAATGAGGACTGTAGTGAAGAAATTTGTCCTATTAAAGAAAACATCATTACACATATATTTATGAAAATATATTTATATAATAATGCATTTTCAATTCTAATATACATTTTGATTGATATGTTGTATTTTATTATGGTAGTTTATTTATTAAATATTAATTAAAATATATATAAATTTATATATATAATGAAATACATAATGTCATATATATATATATATATATATTTATATGTATATATACAGTATACAGCACACAAATATATTATATATAAATATTAATATTTTATATATAAACAACATATTTTTCTTAAATATATACATGCATGTGTGTGTATTTATAGTCGTGCCAACTAGACTGAGGCTTGAGGAGATGATGTCACACACACACACACACACACACACACACAGCGGCGTCAGTTCATTAGCCGGGCCTTGCATCCTATAAAAAGCGCTTCGTCATGTTAATGACTGACAGTTAGATTTGTCTGAGCAGGCAAATCAGTGAAGCGCAGCTGAAGAGGCAGAGGAAGCTCCGCCCACCGAGAGAGCACCGCCAGACACAGAATAAAAACCCCAACCGTCACAGTGCATTATGAGTATTGGAAGAGCGCCTATGCTGGGGCGATGTTTATGCCTTCCTTTAGCGCTCGCGTTCAGAAACACCAACACGACACGCGCGAAGGAATGGGACACATTAGCTGTTACATAAGACAAAGAGAAACACACACTAATGTACAGTCTCAAGTTATTCATTTACATACTCTGAGCGCGTGTTTTTAGGGTCTTCTTCTGTACAAGTCCACAATATCCTGGAAAAATAGAGAAAAAATAGAGAGTTTGGCCATTGTTCAGTGGTTGCTAATTAATTAGTAAGTCTATCTATCTATCTATCTATCTATCTATCTATCCATCTATCCATCCATCCATCCATCCATCCATCATCTGTCATCTATCATCTATCATCTATCATCTATCATCTATCTATCCATCTATCCATCTATCATCTATCATCTATCTATCCATCTATCCATCTATCATCTATCATCTATCTATCCATCTATCCATCTATCT